GAGGAGAATGGAGGAGAAGGGATTGCGGCGTGACCATCCCCCCTGGGGGGTGATTTCTCGCTTTCTGTCTCTATGTCTCTCTCTGTCTGGCGAGCGCACGCGCCCTACAGATCTGTAGGTGCTGTCGCTTGTTTCTGATCTTTTCTTTCTCTTGCTAATTTCAGAATCCATGTGCACCTGAGGTGGGCCTAGCCTTGCCCCTTTCCCATGTCACAAGGTTCTCATTTTTTGGTCCTTTAAATTTTTTTTTTCCCTTTTTCATGGTCTTGATTGATTGATTGTCTTTTTCCCTTTGTTTCCCTTCTTTTACCTGACTTTCTCACATTGTTTTTCACCTTCCACACAGTGTCTAGGCAGATCTAGGTGCACAGTAGCAAAACATCTGAATACTTTTAGAGTCACAGAAAACCTCAACCCCCACTGAACTGCTGCAGAAAGGGATATACTCATCTTTATAAATATAAATTCAAATTCCTTTCTGTGGCTATCACATTGCAAAACACAGTAGAGGAGAAACAGGCACAGAAGTACCTCACAGTAAAGTGAAGCATATGACCTTATGATAGTAGAAGCCTCTTTACTAATTAGTCAAATGTGAATATACCACCAAATGACTAAAAACCAGAGAAGAGTCTCTAAAGTGAGCAGCTGGGAGAAAAAAGGATCTGCAGTGAGCGCAGCTCATCTCCTCCCACACACCTCTCAATTTTTAGTTGAAACCCCGCAGCTCAGCCCAGGTACATCTATTCCCTTAAAACTGTGAGGCCTTTGTAATATCCAGTTCCATTGACTAAAGTGCAGGTTGCTTGGTGAGAATCAGAGAAATGAACTGCAGAATATTTGCAAGTCATCTCCTTCTGCTGGCCCCTAACACTCAGAATTAAATCCGAGAAGGTAGGATTTAACATATAACCCATCAGGTGACCAGAAACCACTGCAGAGGCACAAGAAAGATGGGAAACCAAGAAAATATCTCTTCCCCCATGAGGAAAGAACAGCCCTTCATCATTCACAGACAGTACAGTGGAACTCATGGAAAAGTCAGACAAACAATTTAGAATATTCATAGTAACAAAGCTAACAGAAATGCAAGAGAGACAATGAACTCCAGAAAATGCAGGAGAAAAGAGATGAGTTCCAGGCGGTGAGGAAGTTCTTCCACGATCTGAAAGAGGTAATACACACCATAAAAAGAAAAGAATCAAATGGAACTGCTAGAGATGAAGGCTGTAATCCAGGAAATCAAAACTTCCCTTGAAAGTATTAAAAGCAGATTAGATCATGAAGAAGATCAAATCTCAGATGTAGAAGACAGAACCTCTGACCTAGAAAAATTCACCAAAAGACAGAAAATAACCCAAAAAACTAAGACTAATATATGAGTAATAATACTAGATACAACTAGATATCCAAAAAGCCAGATAATCAGTATCCCAGAAAGTGAAGAAACTAATCAAGACACTGATAATCTATTCCATGAAATCCCGGAAGAAAACTTTCTAAACCTAGAGAGGCACTCAAATATCCAGACCCAAGAAATACAAAGGACCCCACATACAATCAACCCACGGAGATCTTCTCCAAGGTACATCATAGTCAGGTTGACCAAAACAACAGAGACAAGATACTAAAATTGGCAAGCGAAAAACATCAAGTGACTTTCTTTTTATTTTTTTAATTTTTTATTTATTCATTCATTTATTTTTAAATCTGACCAGAGAGAGACACAGAAAGAGAGGGAAAGTGAGGAAGCAAGCCACCAGGTCCGGGACTCAAACTGTGGTAGGCCATGTGGGAGTGTCCAGCACCCTAACTACCACGTCACCCACTGGCCCCTCAAGTGACTTTCAAAGAATATCCCATCAGGCTAACATCGGACCTCTTTTCAGAAACAATGCAAGCAAAGAAAGAATGGGAAAATATATTCAAAGTGCCAAGTGAAAAACAATTTCAAACAAAATTCTGTATCCAGAAGGATTATCCTTCATATGGGAAGAAAAGAAAAAAACATTTGCAGATAAACAAAACCTCAAAGAATTTACCAATACTAGGCCAGTTCTTCCAGAAATTTTGAAGGGAGTACTACTATACTAGGAAAACTAAAGACAATTAAGAGAACAAAAATGACCAAGGAAAAGGCCAACCTAATGGTAGGGACAAGTTCTGAAATATCAATAATAATGTTGAATGTTAATGGAAAGGTTAGACCACAGTAACACTGCAAATTCAACAAAAGAGAGATTACATGAACTACTAAAATGGAATTCGATGACATTTTTCTAAAAAATTACTGATGTTCTTCTATGCTTTGTCTTCCAGATTAAAGGATTTTTATTTTCTTTTGAATTGTTAATAGGTTCACCAATTTGTTTTTTTAACTGAAACATAAACTTTTCTCCCTTTTTGCAATTGAAAAATATTTGTGAGCATTCTTATTTTGTGGCAGAATTATTATTTGCATAAATTCAATAATACAATAGTATCTGTTGCCTTGCACCAGAAATTGAATTCTTATGGGGCTTTGTGCAAATAACAGACCGAATTGAGATTAACCTAATTTTTTTTGTAAATAAGTTAGTTTATACCTCTTTTTAGTAAGAGAGAATGGAGAGAGAAAAAAATGTTTCAGAAGAAACTTACAATGCACTTGTCACTAGATTCTAGCTTTGTCCACAGTTTAAGATCTTTTGCGAATAAATAAAATGTGGGAACAAAAAGCTTAGTATGGAAGGGAGGGAGGGGAAAGAAGACGGAAAAACTGGTAAAAGTATGCTTAATAGACAAAACAATGAGGAGCTATTTGCTGATGATAATGTATACAGTAATATCTTTGTCTTGACTGACATGCATGGGGTTTGTGTTGGAAAAAGAAATGTATACTGTTAAGACATGTGATTGAATATAAATAAACTGAAAAATAAATTGAAAAATTAAGAAAAAAAAAAAAAAAGAGCTGAATTCCACATGACTGAGGGAGCAGTTCAAATCATGGCCCAAGCAGCTTGAAAACCATTCTGAACATGCATTCACGTGTGCCCCAAATCCTGATAGGATAGAGAAATGGAAGAAAAGAGACTGTAGCATGACTATGTCCCCACTGAAAGTGTTTTCTCCCTCTGTCTCTCTCTGGAGAATATATATGCCCTATGGCAAAAAAAAAAAAAAAAAGACAACTTTCTAAAATATATAGGGCTTGGGGCAGGCAGGGGGGATTGGTATGATGGTTAGGGCACTGGACTCTCACGTGGCTGATCACAGTTTGAGTCCCAAATCTGGCAGCTTGCTTTCTCACTTTCCTTCTCTCTCTTGCTTAGTAAATTAATAATGATAAATAAAATAATTCCTTAAAAAATAAATAGGGCTCAATGGTGGAATAAGATGAAACAGCCTAATGGATCCATATGATTATCATGAAGTTGAGAAAAAAAATAACTAAACATGAATCTTTTTTTAAGTTTTTGCCATAAGGCACATGCACTCACCAGAAACAGTGAGAAGGAATGTGAGAAATGACTCCCCAGAAAGGATGGCCATGCTATAGTCCCTTCCCCATTCTCCCAGGATCTTGAACACATACCCACATACACCCAGGGTGATTTTCAAGCCACCAAGTCCAGGACTCAAATCTCAGTCGGCCATGTGGAAGTCTAGTGACTAAACCACCATACCACCTGCTAGTCCCTAAACATGAATCTTAATCTTAGGTCTGTAATGTCACTACTCTTTCTAGTGATATCTAGTGAGAAGTTTTTCTTCAGAGTAGCTATCAGTTTTTCTCTCTTCTTATATGTAACATTCATGGACTTCAATAATCACAATGTCAGATAAAATTAATTTGTTTAGTATACCAACAAACTTTTAAAAAAAAAAAAAAACCTAGCCCCAGTGAACTATCCAACAGCACAGAACTACAGCTATAGCCAGCACAGTGACTGGAACATAAGATCAAAAATCCCTGGTAACATAGACAAAACGATCTTAGTAGCTTTTATTTTAAAAAAATTTTAAAGGTTCAAACACTACTTTCATAGGAAAGCATTAAACCTTCCTTAAAACTTTGTTATTCACATTATCTTACAAACCATTGTTTCTGTGGTAAGAAATGAGTTGAACCTCATCAAGTGCTATACCTTAGATATAACATTTACACAGGGGAAAAAGATCCAATTCTGAACCATAACAAGAGGCACTTCAATTAAACCTAACGATAAACAGGGGCCATAACAAATTACATCAAAACACACATGAAGACCACAGCTATATTAGTGTTTCACATGAAGTAGGCACTCAACAGTGTTATATGAACTGAATTACTATAACAGGCAAGGGCTGGTTCTGGACCTCATTCAGTATTTAAGCTACCTAAGTGAGGCTAGTAGATGAATTTAAGAATGTTTTTTAAATGGGGAAAATTTAAATTTATGGCCTTATGATTGTATTAATTGAATCTGGTTTATTTAAAAAATATTCTCCTAGCTACAGTTAAAGAACAACTCTTTCTCTTCTGTGTTAAAAATAAATGGCATTATCTCTCTCATTAATTTTGCTTAGCTGAATGGATCATTTTAAAAGCTTTCTTCTTTACTACTAAGTCAGCATCTTCATTTCTTAACTAGCCCAGCAGTCCTTATATGAAAACAGTACCTAAAAATACAAATAAAAATTTTCCCAGCAAATATTATATACAATCCCAACAACGCAGACACAATCTTTAAAAAAATCAGTTACATATTTATTTACATAGAATCAAATGAAAGACTTGAAAAGCAATATATCTATGAGTCATAAAATTTAATTATTAATCCACGTTTTTGGGGAGAAAAAAGGTTTTCAGTTTTCCTCCAGTACCTGAAGGATGGTACTATTTTACATGCTTCGGTTACATGTGCTGCAACATCAGACATCTATACATCTTTAGTTTTCACAGAATTCATATCAAGTCCAAAAAAGTCTTTTTTGATGATATAACGAACACACTGCAAAATCACATTTCTTTCATGTCGAATGTCTGGAGCTAAAAGCTAAAAAAAATAAAAATAAAAAACATTAGCTGATAAACAAAATTTATCTGGGAAACATAATCTAAAATATTACATGTCCCTTCCACACATAAATAACACAGAACAACAAGAGATGTGTACTGTGTTTACTAATTATTTGCTAAAAAAAAAACAAAAAAAAAGTAAGAACATTTCCTTTTAACTTGTACCACAGACTATAATAGCTTTTAAACAGCAAAAATGTTCACTTTTGGGGTCCTCTGTAAGAGTATCTAGCAAAGAACAGGAAAATAGGCTTAAAAGCCTTTAATTAATCAAAATCTATAAACAGTCTAGAAATTCATAAGTAGCCATATTAAATATAGTAACAATGAAACTAGTAGTAAAAAGAAGAATCCCAACATTCCCTGACTTTCATAACTTCCCATTTTTGTGCTTACTGTATTGAAAGAAAACTAAAAATCTCTGGTATTTAGAATAAGAACACAGGCAAAGAAGCACATGTGATTTGCAAAAAATAGTTATTTTCTGATGTCACTAATATAATTCAGAAATATCACAAAGGATCGATCAGAAAGATGATTAAATATACTACTTATATGATACAAACATACATTTTAAAAATGTGATTTGCTATAAATAGTGATGGCATTAACAAAATGGTATATTTTAGATTCATTTTAATAAGAAGCAACTGTATCTACATGTAACAATTCATGGAAGACTTAAAATCTTTGATCTTTTTTTTTCTTTCTTTCTTTCTTTCTTTCTGTTTTTTTGGGAGAGATTTTTGCTACAGGGCGCGTGCGCTCGCCAGACAGACAGAGAGAGACATAGAGACAGAAAGCGAGAAATCACCCTGCAGGGAGGATGGTCACGCCGCAATCCCTTCTCCTCCATTCTCCTCTCGGGATCTTGGGCACGTACTCACACGCGCCCGGCGTGAGTTTTAAGCCACCGGGTCCGGGACGCGAACCACAGTCGAGTCCAGTGTGGGAGTCCAGCGACATAGCCATTACGCTAACTGCTGGTTCCCAAAAATCTTTGATCTTTGAAGAATGTCATGTTTATTACTTAGAATCAAAAGATGTATTGGTTCTTTTTTATGACTTAAAGAAAAATATTTTTTGAGCACATAATCTTGAGACTAAAGCTAACAATCCAAATAAAAAGATACAGATAAAGTGAAGATAGTCCCCAAAGATAAAAAATAAAACTTTGGCTTTCTTTCCATTATTTTTTGGTTTTCCATAGAAATTGACATTAAAAATCTTTTTTTCCTCTTCAGTCTGCCATTGTATTTAACTGTGCTTTCAATAGAAACTTTAAAAATGTCTGTAAACGTCAATGTATGTTTCTTAGTTAAAGCTAGATTCCGTTCTTTGCATTTATTTATTTTAGACAAGATTTTGATACGCCATGATCCTGCTGTCTCAGCCTTTCAAGTAGTTGGAACAACATCATCTCCACACCACCACAGCTGGCTTTTAGGGTGAGCCTGAAATCAAACTCAAGTCTCCCATATGATCCAAAGTGCTGAACGGCAGAGTCAACTAATGTGCATCACTGCAGCTGAGCCCTTGATTCTTTTAAGTTTTGAAACCTAATTCACACAACTGAACACCAACATGCCAAATACAATTTCAAAATTTAAAGATACACAGATAAGTTTTTTTTTTACACAGATAAGTTTTTAAGGACCATATGTCTCTGGTAGTTTGAAAACACAAACACATACCAAGAAACCCAATGATTGACTCTATCTTTATGAAACTACAAAGATTAAAATGTAAAAAACAAACAAACAAACAAATAATCGTTTACCATTTCCAGGAGATATGGATGGTGTGTTCTTGGTTCAAATAATGTTGAATAGCTGTGATAATCTTTTCTTCTCTTAGGGTTTGTCTTTTTAAAACTCTTATTCTGGTTCTCACACTTGGCTTCTGAAAAATTTCTAACAGTTGCTTTAACATCTTGATTTGGACTCTTAAGAGTAATGCTGTGAAGAACCTGATTTTCTGCCAGAACGTCTGCTTCGGTCTTGATGGGAGTTTCTAAGAGTGATGAAAAACAAACACAAAAATTAAAAAAACAGGTAGAACTTTCATAAAATAACCATAAAAAGCCACCCCCAGTCATAATATTGGCTACGTAATAATGTTAAGCTGAAAGATTTTTGAGAGGCATTTACAATGTATTCAATATTATTCAAATTGGAAACTATAACTGCCAAGAATTGAGCAGAATACCACAGAGAGTTATAGAAAGTGATCTCTGGGAAGGAAATAACACCAGATGGAAAGTCGGATTTACACATGGGAAGGATGAGTGCTAGAAACAGTAAATATGTGGACAAATACTAAAGACTTTTTTTCTTATTTGAAAAAAAATTTAAAAACAGAAAGGGCTAAAGGAAAAATAACAGTGCATATAGGATCTGTAACATCTGTAGGAGTGAAATCTGTAACAACAGCACAAAGGAAAAGGAAAATATATAAGTACATTACTGAAAAATTCTTAAAGTACATGTGAAGTGGAAAACTATCATTTCAAAGTATAATGTGGTAAGTTAAAGTTGCAGACTATATACTCAAGATCAACTCCTAAAAAATTAAACAAAGAGGTTCAACTAATAAACTTATATTTGCACTGCTGTAAAGTATGGGATTGGGCTAGCTCCACAGCCTGGTAATTAAGGTGGTTGGCGCCCACATGGCTGACCACTCAGTTTGAAGCCTGAACTCGGCGGCTTGAGAACATACTAGGCCTGTGTCCATGCTCTCCCAAAAATCTCAAAAGGAGGGAGGGCTGGAGGAGAATGATTGTGGTATGACCATTAACCACAAGTATGCTTTCTTTTCTCCCTCTCTCTCTGTTGAATGTACCCTCTAGCAGACAGACAAATAAAATATAGGATTAATCTGAAATAAGGCAGGAAAAGAAGAAAAATGAAACAAAGAGAGATAAGTAGAAACAAACAATATTAATAACATTTATGTAAATGGCCTAACACCCTATTTATAAAAGACAAAGATGGTCAGAATGAAAAAAAGAACAAGACACAACTATATGACATTATAAATACTGATTTTATATGCAGGCAGTTCTTGCTTTATACTTTGAATCTTAATTCAAAGTATTCAAATTAAATCTCAATTACTTAGGTATCATGTAAAGCAAGAACTGCCCATACAGTCACAGGCTAAAAGTACAAGGATGAACAAAATATTATGCATATTTCAATCACAAAAAAAGCTGGAATGGCTATATCAATATCAGACAAAAAAAGTTTTTAGAACAGGGGATATAAAATATCCAGAGATAAAGAGAACAAATCATTTATAATGTTAAAAGGGATCAATTCATCAAAAAGATAAAAAAAAAAACCAGTAACACCAAATAACAAATTCTCAACATACATGCAGTAAAAACTGATTAAACCAAATATAGAAATAGATAAATCCATTATTATCGTTCTACTCTCAGCAACTGAAGAACAATTAGACAGTAAATGAGCAGGGATACAGAACACCTGAACACCACCAACAATGAACTCAGATGAACAAAGAACATTCAATCCAATACACACATTCTTATCAAATTCCATAATATCCACCTGTTTTGGGCCATAAACTAAGTCTCATTAAACTGAAAATACTGAAAGCACTGTTCTCTAACCATAACAAAATGAAATAAAAATTACTAAAAGAAAACTAACTAGAACCCTCCCCCCCCATAACTGGAAACTAAACATATTCCTTAAAAAATAAATAAATAAAAACTGAGTTAAAGAACAAGTAAGAGGGACCAGCAGATGGCGTAAGGGCTACATTACTGGACTCCCACGGAGTCAATTGCAGTTCAAGTCCCAGACCTGATGGCTTGAAACTCATGCCGGGTGACATGTGCATGCATTCCCAAAATCCAGAGGAGAATGGAGAAGGGACTGCAACATGGCCATCCCCCCAGGTGGTGATTTCTCACTTTCTGTCTCTCTGTCTCTCCAGTGAGCGCACAT